CCTTTCTTTGGGAAAATATAAATTCAACACTTGATTCTCACCAAGCGAAATGCTACACGATAGTTATGTGCCCTTGCAGAATCTCCTTTCATATATACACACATACGAACCGTCAACAACCATCAATCCATCCCAATCGAAGAAACACAACTCCAAAGATCATCCACAAATGATTCAAGTTTGTTTGGTGATCTATAGTATGGTTGGATGCTCACATAGATCTATGGACCCATATCTAGCACGTTGGTGCTCAAACTTCATACACACATTGTGTACCCACAAAGGAGCCACCACATGAAGCAGGGAGGGCCTAGCCACCAATGTCAGGTCAACCGACCTGGGCCATGTCGCCCGAACCTCCAAGAGTGATCCACCACCTCTCCTTTGGATACATGCAAACTAGCACAATTCCACTCCATCTGAGCCGTGCAAGGGGTCGGTTTGATCCAAGGATTAGGAAGAACCTTCATTTCGATTCATGGGCCCACACTTCACCCAACTTCTCTCTATAAATAGCTCTCACTCTCATTTATAATCATCACACACAACACTCAAGGGTGCCCCCTTCCTCATTTATCATAGTAGTAGTAGTGTAGTTGGGAGTTAGAGTGAGTACGTGTTTAGCTTAGCCACCTTAATATTCAATGTGAAGCTCTTGTATCCTTAGCTTAGCCATCTTCTCTACTTTACTGTATACATGTCACATCGCAAAATTTTAGTTTTCGTATGTCACTAGAAAACACAAAAAAGAAATAATTTTTTTACTGTTTTCTAAAACTTTCAAACTTTAGTTAAGTTGTTGACAATTTAGATAAAGTAAGATGTGAGTTTATAAAATTTTTGTAATTTAACTTAGGTGGTTGATGTATTCATGACTATGTATGGTGTTTATGTATGTAAAATGAGTTTAAATATTTTCAAGGGCACTTAGTGATGAGGACATGACCTCCATACATATGACCATGCTTGGAGAACCATATGGAGACCAAGGAGATCAGCGAGGGTGTCCTAAGTAAGAAGGAGGTCCGAAGCTCATCCGGTTCGAGTCACCAAGGTGGAGGCCCAAATCAAGTTCGAGTCCATCTAGGCCTTCAGGACCAGTCTGCCTTAAACTGGTCACCCAGGACGTATCCGGACTCCATTTTCGACGATCCATATATGGATGGAAAGCTAATTTGATAAGGAAGCCAATCCAAGTAGTTTCACATCAAAAGCTATTCGGAATCAATAGGAATCGTGGTCACAAGTTAGCGTCCAGAATCTACTAGGGTGCTGCGACACCGTCTTTTGGTCCGTTGAACCGTGTATCGTGTTTGGGCCCATTAGGGGGCGCGTCCAGGGGGGTGATGCCCAAGACTCTATAATTATCAGCCGTTGCTCTCCTTAGGTTTGGGTTTTGTTTAGTTCTTGATTTTCTCGTGAAACAGACGTCGTGTTGCTGCAACTGTCGCCGCCAAGGCCGCTTGCTGTGAACTAGGGCCACAATTCTTGATCTTGTTCGCCTGTGGCGATTAGTCCTTTTGAATAAAGACTTGAACTCCTTATTTTCATAAGCCTCATATTTATTTGCAATTTCAGATTGCGTTTATCTCGTTCTTGCTTGTGTTCTCGATTCGCTTGCAGGAAAGCCTTCTCAGCGAGGTCAATCGCGTTCACGTGGTTGATAACCAACGGAGCGGTGGTGTAACGGTTGCGGGGGTCTGAATCAGTCTTGGTTCGAAGCCTAGATCGTGAACGTCGAGTCTCCACCAATCGACGCTATCATACCTTTCAGAAGATAGGGCCTTGTCTACATCACTTAGGGTTTTATCAAGATAAAATCCTAGACAATATCATCTTAAGTGTTCAAAACCCTAAAACTCTATACTCCCAATACCCCGTAGGTGATGATGGGCCGTAAAAGTTTGGTTATAGTAGGCAGTCACGTGACACGGCCACCACCACCCCACCACCCCATCGTGGCACTATCCAGCGTCCACAACACTATCCACAAGCACCGCGCTGCCATCAGCCATATCTGATCGGCCACGGCAAACAATGGCATTCTTGTTGTCGGATGTCATGGCGGTCGACCCACCACCTCAGAAGCATGACTCTGCTTTAGCATCATGCGCTGGAGGAGGCGCGAACGCCCGTCACTGGTCGACAGAGGTGGAGCACATGAAGTCTTTGCTTGTTTGCTAGGAGATCCCCTCAACAGCATGTGTCGCATGCCGTTTTGCCCCGAGGATGGCTGGGGCCCGGCAGGACATCGCTAGAGGGCTGTGTCTGCATCTACAAGGGCATGCTCGACGGTGGAGTGTGCTTGCTGCTCCATGAATTGTACACAAAGATCCTTCGGCACTACAGCATCGCACCCAGCCAGCTCACGGCAAACGCCTGGCGTGACCTGGCCAGCTTCGTCCTTCTATGCGAACCCTAAGATCCTTGTTTGTTACCTTAGGTTGTACGTATAATTTATATGTTCTTCAAAAAGCGCCCTATAGTCATATTAATTCCATAGTATCCTTGTGATTTGAATCTCTTTTAAATTGTGGACGGTGGTGGTGGAGGAGGTTTGTGTGTGTTTCAAAAGGATAGTTTCCCATTTGGATTGTATTGGACTATTGGAGGGGCAGGGCCCAGGTGTCATCGGCTGCTTGGGCACTTCTGTCACTCTCACTCGATGTGGGACTAGCATGGAAACTAACTGTGTTTATTTTTTTTTTTTATTTTCAATACATGGAAAACATGTCATCTTGCCTCCGTACTCATTTTATCTAAAAGTGGAAGTGAAGAAGCACACTTGGTTCTATACTTCTATATTATAATATCATACTAGAAAATACTAGTAAAAGAGAAGTAGAAAAAACTTGGTATTATATCATACTAGAAAATAATAGTAAAAGAGAAGTAGAAAAAACTTGGTATAGTAGAAGAGAAGTAGAAAAAAAGACAAAAAATAATCTATAGGATTTGGATTGGTGCACCAAAATGAGATGAGAAGATGGCAGGGGTGGGTGCATGAGTGGCGTAACTAGAGTAAACTGGCAGCACACCATGACAACAACAACAACCTCAACATATGGAGAATCAAAGCACCCACAAACACCACCATGACAACGACACCTCATTGTCGATGGGTACGTCGCCTACCACTGAATGCACAAACTCCACCTTGACAACAACAGCAACCTAGGGTTGGTGGCACACCATGACAACAACACAAAAATCTATAGGATTTGGATTGGTGCACCAAAATGAGATGAGAAGATGGTAGGGGTGGGTGCACGAGTGGCGTAACTAGTGTCAATTGGCAACACACCATGACAACAACAGTGCCTCAACATATGGAGAATCAAGCCAGCCACAAACTCCACCATGACAATAACACCTCGTCGTCGACGGGAACATCGTCTACCACTGAATGCACAAACTCCACCATGACAACGACAACGGCCTAGGGTTGGCGGCACACCATGACAATAACACCTCACTGTCAGCAGGAACGTCACCTACCACTAAATGCACAACGCGGATAAATCCTTGAAAAATCGCTTCTATGGGGAGTCAGCCTAGAAACTGAGGTGATACTGAGACTCTTGTAATCACTAAGCTACAGGTCATTTCACATTCCACATCAATAATTGTTATTGCAAATAGGATGAGTGCCAATATAGTCGGCATGCCACCAGCCCACCACTGAGCTATCACCAGTAGAGAACAGACTTTCGGTTCAACACATTAGTCTCGGCTAGAATTGGGCCCGGCACTAATGTAAGCATTAGTCCCGGATCCAAATTTCTTGTGCGTTGAAGGACCCCCTGGTTGGTAACAACCAACCCGGACTAAAGAGCCTTGACCCTATAGTCCCGGATAGTGTTACCAACTCGAACTAAAGATCATCTGACGAGTTAGTTCAAAAGAAAAACATCACATTTGAAGTCACATGTGTTGTATAGGTGGGGTAGAAAGGTACACATGAGGGAATGCATGAGGTCTTTGAGTTCAAATCCAGAGAGAGAGAGAGAGAGAGAGAGGGATAGGATGCATTATTTTTCTTAATGCTTTAGTCCTGGATTACCAACCGAGACTAGAGTTCAAATTTCTATTAGTGTATAAACGGGTCGGGCTGTATCAGGCCTGTTTAAGAGTGGGCCGTATGGGCAGACAAGTGAAGCTGTGAAGCCATTTTTTTAAGAAAACAACAAGTCAAGCCATAAGACGAAGCACTTTTCTCCAAGCTATAAAATCCAAGCGCAAGCTTACAAAGAGCTGGTTTCAGAACAAGTCCAGCTGCAGGCCAGAAAATCAAAGACGAGGCGAGACTGTGAATCTTGGCGGGAGCAAAGCACCTTTCTACTTTCCTTCAACTTCTCTCCTAGTTTTCAATTATGTTTATTGTGTTTTTTGTTTTTCTAGTTGTGTACAGAGTCCAGTTGACTGAGTTGTACAGTGTCCGTCTGGACGTTCCTTCTTTTTAATATAGCGGGCAGCTCTCCTGCCGGTTCGTTTCAAAAAAAGAACAACTTGATTGATTTCACGTTGCTCAAAAAAAAGTTGATTGATTTCACTATAATATAAACAAGCCCATTTTTTTTCTTTACAAAATAAAAAACTCCTTGAAATCTTGAATTCACTGCAAAAGAAGTAGGAACAACAACAGTTTAGGGCTTGAGGCCGGCAGAATGACGAGAAGAAGCATTAACAAGAGTAACACACACATCAATGTACACTAAGCTCCCCATTATCATACTCACCGTCTTGCGTTTCTTTGTCGTGTTTGACCATATAGCATATGCGCCATTTGCATCGCATTCGCATCTGATGACCAGATAGACTACATCCTCGGCCGGCCGGCCCAAAGCAGCAAGTAGCTTCTGCTTGCTCGTGTCGTCGTCTCCACGACGGCAGAGCGAGGTAGCAGCCTCAGAGATTATTACCAAGCCTAGCTAGGTAGCTAAACCCTACCTTGCTCCGAACTCTACTGTCTACTCTGACAACCTGATCATCACAAGCACATGGAGTTGGGGCCAGAGAGGAAGGACGACGAGGGTGCAGCTGCACGGGCGTCGCCATCGTCGTCGTCCCCGAGCTGCGAGGCCGACGACGACAAGGATCTGCCGAAGCAGCAGCAGCGGGCCATCGGCGGCGGCGGCGACGACGACGACGACGACGACGAGGGAACAAGGCAGCCGTACAAGTGCACTTTCTGCAGGAGGGGTTTCCCGACGGCGCAGGCGCTCGGCGGCCACATGAACGTCCACCGTCGGCACAGGGGCAGACCAGCAGCAGTGTCCGCCGGCGCCGCAGCGGGAAGCAGCGCCGCCAGTGTCTACGACTACGACCAGCAGCCGTGCTCGACGATGACGACGTTAACGACGCCCGTTCTGGCGTTCGCCCGACAGGCTTCGACTCGGCCGGCGGCTGGCGGTGTGGCCGCGTTGCACGCCCAACAGAAGCCGCACGAGCTGCTGCCTCTGTTCGGCCGCGGTGACTGCTGCGCTGCCGGCCGTGGCAGTGGCGCGGCCGCCGGAGATGTACGAGAAGATCGCTACTTCGCCATCGCCGAGGAGGGGGGTGGAGGGGAGGAGCTGGACTTGGAGCTCAGGCTTGGAGGTGCAGGATCATGACCTCACGATCGAGTATTCAGCTCCATGCTTTCAGTGTATGTATATATATGCACGTGGTTCTCAACTTCTCATTACTGGCTTATATTACAGGCATTTCTTTCTAGCTAATCAAGCTAACTGCCTCTCAGTGCTGAGTTGATTACTTTTTTTTTTGCACGACTTATGTACAAGAGATCGAAACAATGGAGTGATTTTAGATCGATCAGTTAAGGGATTAATTATAGAAAGAACCACAGACGATTTCTTGGCAGGATTTGTGAATGCATGCTTTAAAATGAGCAATTTGCATTGATCCATAGGAAATTTTTATTAGTTTTGCTAATACATGCATTCACGATACGTATCAATACTGAAGATTAGTCGGCGCTTCTGAACTAGTAAGCTCTTTCCTAATTCTTCAGGTTGTAGTTTATTTGGATTTATATATTTCTCATGTTCCATGACCGCAGAAATAAATGATATTCTTGTGTTTCAGTGCAAAATGATCGACCTGCGTATCTGAAATTTTGTGCTAGTTTACATGACTAACTACATTAGGGAATATATGCAAGTTGCCGAAAATTTGTAAGAGAGGTTAATGGCTAGCTACCAATATGTGATTAGCATTAGTTATATTCTAAAACCTTTTTTCGATAAAGGAAGTTCTTATTAACTTTTCAAGACATCACATTCAGATGATACAGAGTATTGAAAAAGAACTTGACATAAAGCACAAAACCATGCACACTCTACAAAGGCTAGATCGCCACCCATACACCCTAAGAAAAATAAATAAAACAACTATTTTCCATTGTTTTTTTCTTCCTGTAAATTTAAGGGAAAGCAAATTAAAGGCTCATCAATGGATCGTTATATATTTCTCTTTTCAGTGCTCAATAATGTTCATAAGCATGTTCTCTTGCTACTTACACATTATCTGATCGATGAGAAGCATGTATTATGAGGGAACTGTTTATGAAATCTACTAGCAGTGTGGAGTCACACATTTTTAATCTAGGATACTTCAGAGTATTTAAACTGACTCTGAACCATATGCCAGTAGGGAAAAAAAAGGTTCAGAGATTCAGAGCATAGAAGATCGAACTGCTTCATCTATAAACATTATATTCACGATTCATATATTATACATATTATTTCCTATACTTTAGCTATGAAGACAATATACCCCCCATGCATCCAGTTAATTATGACGATTCATCTGAAATTGCAATTCTGATCACCAATATGGTGTCACAACAGCCAAGATTTCTTTTTCCCGATGATGAGTTGATGACATGTTCGATCTTTTAACCAACTGATCAAACAACTCAAATATTGCCCCTGACAAAAAGTTCTACATCACCTCAAACCGTTCAAATTCAGGAAGGGACAGGCATCCACATATACTATGACATGAGCTCATCAGTAGTTCAGCCAAGATTTAGGGCCTGTTTAGTTGGCAAAATTTTTTGATTTTGGGTACTGTAGCACTTTCGTTTGTATTTGATAATTAGTGTCTAATTATGGACTAATTAGGTTCGAAAGTTTCGTCTCGTGATTTCTCACCCAACTGTGTAATTAGTTTTTTTTTCGTCTACATTTAGTACTCCATGCATGTGCTGCAAGATTCGATGTGATGGATACTGAGCAAAAAAATTTTGGGTTTTTGGTGGAACTAAACAGGGCCTTATACCATATCCTTACACGCTGACAAATGTCCGATTTCAGAGGATCTGGGGACCTTTTCTGGCCAGTCAAGTGGATTTATAAAATAGAAGAGTTAGTATGTTAGTTTCAAACATTCAAAGATGTTGTACCAGTTCTCTGGAAAAGGTTGTTGAACCTACTGCATTTGTCCTTGTAGTTGAAAAGTTGTTTGTTTGTCGCCTCAATGATGAACCATATATTCCATTATCAGCTCGTTCGGCTGCTCCACTCTCGCCTGGTCTGCTCCTACTTTGGACTGGTGTGCTGACACAAGGCACTGTTGCTACAGTGCTCAAAAGCAGCCGAACGACTGGCTTCTAGAGCAGCATATTCTAGGAGTACGATTGTATAGATTAATTTATCCTGCAGCCGGCTTCAGCACATAGAACAATGGTACCATGGGCTTGCGCTTCAGATTAGGCCTGGTTTAGTTCCAAAAATTTTCACCCTAAACTATCACATCGAATCTTACGACACATGTATGGAGTATTAAATATAGACAAAAAAAATTGTACAGTTTGATTGGAAATCGCGAGACGAATGTTTTAAGACTAATTAGTCCATAATTAGCCATAAGTGCTATAGTACTAACATGCGCTAATGATGGATTAATTAAGCTTAATAAATTCGTCTCGCAGTTTCCAGGTGAGCTATGTAATTAGTTTTTTTATTAGTATCCGAAAACTCCTTCCAATATCCCCGAAACATTCCATGTGACATCTAAAAATTTTCATTTCGTGAACTAAACACAGCCTTACTTGTGGACTAAAAAATCATGTAGATTTCCAACAAGCTAACTATCTACCGTGTGAATCCTCTACAAGTGAAAAATCCTCTTCAATCCCCCTCAATCCCCATGATTTAGGGATGAAACGAACCAGGCTTAGCTGAATGTATGGCCTGTACTGTAGTCTTATTGCACAATAATTTCACCAGAACGAGGTCAATTTCACAGGAAAAAAAAGTAGGATTAAGAAAAAAAAAATCCTTGTTGCAAACAAGGCTTTAGAGTGGAGTACACGGTAGCAAAAGGCATAGGAATTCAGAAACAGCACACCAGCAGTCAAAAGAGTGAAGCAAGATCCTGATGCTTCTGCACCTCTCTCTTGTCCACTTGAAAAAAAAAACACATCTTCTTCTTCAGGTGAGCGGTGGGCCCCACATGCCCGATTTAAGTGCTTTGTATCTGGACTGACCAGCTTGTCAACTTTCCTCAGGCAACGGATTATGGGCTGGGCTGGCTGCCGGGGCTGTGCAGGGTGCTGGGTTGGTGACGCAATGGGATTATGGGAAGGAAAATACTCCTTGCATCAGTGTCATGTCATGTGATGGATGCGAGGTCTGCATGAATATCATCGATCCGATAACGCGGCCCTCGTGCTTACCTACCTGCCAAATCCGTCGTCGTCACCACCTCGATCCATTCCATGCTCACTTCTCAACGCGAGATTCATGTCTCCTCTGCTCAGTGCTCGCGTCTCATCTCATGCTGACGCTACACCTCTCAAGTCAACGATGCATACAATCTCTGAAACTACTACGTGCTGTGCAGCGAACCAACCGTTTGCGGTTCGTCTCAACACATACAAGCACTCTCTAAAACGTAGGATTCACGAAGGAATTTTATAGAACTGTAAAGTTGAAGGATTTTTTTCCCTATGTAGACCTTTGAAACGAAGGATTGGCCATACTTAAATCCCACAAAATTCTTACGAAGTGGCTTCGTTCATAGAAACTTTGGAGGAAATCTGACCTGAGGTTTAACATAGAAACTTTTCTCTCTGTCTATCTTTCTCTTCTAATTCATGTGTTTCTCCTATGTTGTATCAAATGATGTAGGATTGCAATTTCCAATTTCTATAGGATTGCAATTAACAAACAATTCCAATCCTGCGTTTTTTTTTCTATTTCCGTGTTTTAGATATCCTACGATTCCATAGAAACCCTTGTACCGCCAGCAGGTTACCAGCAGCAATAAGGGGAATGAATGGGTCATTCTTCCATTCCTAAAAGGTAGTGGTAAATACAATTGTGGAACTCCCTCCATTAGATCCTTAGAGCATCTCCAACAACTCCCTATATTTTACTTGGTATATCTTGTGTTTTAGCAACTTGGTATTTTGTTTGGCAAGTGAAAAAATCACCTCTCTCCAACAATTTGGTATCAACTTGGTAAATCAAAAAAAAACAGGCCCACCTAGTAGCGTGACTTTTCCGTGCCCTCTGGCCGCCGCGACTATTCCCCTGCCTCTCGCCGCGCGACTTGTTCTTGTCGCGTAGACAGGACGCCGCGCCGCCGCCCATTCATCTCCTCGGCGCTTCTCCATGGATGTGATAGCAGCATGGTCAATGAATGAATGTGTGCTGTTGGTGCGTGGCGTCAGTGTACTGTTGGTGCGTGGCGTCAGTGCTGATGGGACTAGTGCACTGTTGGCCATCAGGTTTTGCCATGTAAACTTCTGATAAAATATTTCAGAGCTGATACAATATGAGTTTAACAACTAAACTATAAACGGCACAGTAGCTCGTAGTTCCAAATTTAATACTGAATAAACTTAAACAACATAGCTCATAGTTCAACAACTAAATATTTGGAGTAAGCTTCGCGAGAATCTGCTCTTGCATTATCTCAAGCCACTGACGCTGCTTCGGATTGAGAGACGTCATGTCCGCTAACATAATTTTATTCTGTTCTTTCATCAAGTCGGTTTCAGCTTTTTTTGCTTCATTGTCCACCCTCTTCTTCTCTAGCTCTAGTGTAGCCTTCTCTATCTCTAGTGTAGCCATGAACCTGTCCTCTTTGGCCTTCTCCTTTTCCTTCTCGAAAACCTCCTTCTTCGACCACATCTTGTCCAATGCTTCCATGCAAGCTTCACCACCTCCTCGCTTAAGATTTGCTTTTACCTGATCAATAATCAATGCTTTAGTACAGTCCAATAAAAAAAAATTGTACAACTAATATAAAACTCTTTGCCACTTAAAATTTGTACCTTCTTTATCCCATCGGACCTCTTCCTTGGTTCGGTTTCTTCAGCTTCAATAGGTATGCCATTGTCATTATTTAAGGCTCCTTCATCCCTTGGCCTTGACACCTTTCCGGCCTTCTTTTGCTTCTTGCTTTTTGCTAGTTTCTCAACCTCTGCAATTTCTACCATCTTGGATTTCCACTTGTCCTCCTCCTTGAGTATGTCCCAGCAATGCTCAAAAACAAAAGATTTGTTGTCCCTGTCTAAGTTTTTGTAGACCTTTTTTGCTTCATTAAGCTGCATAGAAATACCATCAAAGTATATACATTTTAAAAGTGAAGTTCAAATAAAGCATTCAAAATAAATTGCATACCTTATCTTGCATAGTTGTGCCACTTTGATTCCTACGTAGAATTTGATCATAGTGTGAACAAAACTTGTTCACACTAGTTTGAATTACCAGAAACCGATGCATAATGGAACTCTCTGAACGAGGAACTTTAGATTTGTTGTGTTCCTCGAAATAAGCATGAACTTTGCCCCAAAATGTAGTACGAGATTGATTCGCCCCGTTAATGGGATCCTTGCTAATAGCCAACCATCCAAAGCAAACAATTTCATCCTCTTCGGGAGTAAAATTTTTGGACCTCTTTCCTCCCTTCGTGCTTCGGCTTGGCTGCACTACTTCAACACTACTAGGACTGTCTTGGCTCTCTGGAATGTCATCAACCTCGTTCACGGCAGCAACAGGAGCCCCATGTCCTTCGAGAAGGATGTTGCTCAAGAAACCATCTTCTTCCATTCTAAAATGAGTATAGAACAAACTGAACCCATGAACAACAGCCTGAACCCATGAACAAACTGAACCCTAAACCCCGATCCATGGTCTACCTGAACGAGTTGAGGAGGATAGTTCAGGACAAGGCGTACCTGATCGATGGCCGGCAAAACTTGGCGGAAGAGATTGCCGGCAGACCTTGGTGGAACACACGCGCCGGCAGAACTGGGCGGAAGAGGACGCCGGCAGAACAGAAGCGGACGCCGGCAGAACAGAGGAGAAGACGGGCCGGGAGATCTTTAAACGCGCGCGAAGGGGAGATGGATCGCTCTGGATCGGCGCGGGAAGAGTACGCGCGCGCGCGGGAGGGACCTGGCGGCCGCGGGAGACGCCGAAATCGGCGATACGAAGTGAAAGCCGCGCGCGGAACAATACGCGCGCGAGGAAGGAATTTGGCAAGTTGGGAAAAATAGGAAGTGAATATAGGGAGTTGTTGGAGAGGAGTTTTTGAGTTTTTTGCAAAATTATAAGAATAGCAAGTCAATATAAGGAGTTGTTGGAGATGCTCTTACAACCAGGTTAGCTAACTTACAAAACTTCAGCCTTATTGCCACTGCTGGCCATTACATACCACCACCCAAGTTTCTATGAAGGACTCTAAGGTATCAGACTCTCCTTCATTCTCAGACCGGCGCAATTCCCATCTGAAAGACTCACAATGGCGCATCGGCTTTTGCCATTTCACTACCATTTGCCATCCTCCAGCAACTGTGCTGCAAGACACCAGAAACCCTCGACAGCCATCGCATTCCGATAGCCTGTAAATTTTTTTCTTCTGCTATGCTTGACAGTGGGGTCGTATTCATTGTCAGTCATGGTAGCGCCATGTTTGGCTACTTCAGAGTTCAGAGCTCTTGGCAGGCAGCAAAGGAACCCGCCAGTAGTTGTAAGTATCATGTGTTCTGAAGAATCCTCGTGAGCTCTTCTTTCACTTCCTGCAGAACAAGCGGCTTCTTCAGGACACCGTTGATCCCTGACTGCGCGCACTTCTCCCACACGTTCTGCTCCGATGTCATGGCCATCACCAGGGGCCAGTGGAAGCTCCTGTACTGCCTGATCCTCGAGGCAGCATCCAGGGGATTAATCATTGACATCTCCAGGTTAACCATGACGAGCTGGAACGAGGCAGAGGAAGGGCCGACCGAGTTCATGAACCCTGAGCCTGAGGGGAGCGAGGATACAGTGCAGCCTAGCCTCTCCAAGAGCTTCCGCGCCACGACTAGGTTGATCTCATCGTCGTCGATGAGCAGAACCTTCAGCCCAGCTATTTGGTTAGATGGCGATGGGTATTGCAGATCAAATGACCCTCCGAGGCTGGAGCTCGCCAGCGATGGTTGAAGCTGGAATCTCAGGACCAGGGTCATGCTCTCTGGGAGTCCTTGCCCGTCAAGAATTGCCCAGATGTTCCCTTGCATCATCTGTTGAGAGAGAGCATCACAAGGCAAAAATATTAGTGACTGAACACAAATGTCTCTAAGCTTCCTGCCTGCACAAAATGCAAAGGACACGCATACTGGTTTCAGAGTACCTGCACAAGCTTCCTGCACATGCTGAAGCTGAGCCTGAGATCAAACCCTTCGGTCCTTGGCCTCCGCAAGAACTGTGCAAGCGAGCTTGATGAGTCAGCATTCTGCTTCCTCTTCACCCCAATCACAAACTTGACCGATGAGTGCCCACCAGAGTAGCTTGGCCTCCATGGATCCCACCTCTGGTCCTCCATCGGCTCATCATCAGCACGCACCTGGAACGTGACGTTCCCCGCATCGAAGCGACCAATCAGATTGCCAACCATGTGCAACAAGACATGGAAAATCCTCCGCTCGTCGCCAATGACAAGGTCCGGCAGCACGTTCTCGACGTGCACCGCGAAGCCAAACCCCCTGAAGTAACAGAGACACCGTGCAACGCAGGCGGCATCCCTGATCATGGAGTGCAGGTGGAATGGCCGCGTCTCCAGTGGAAAGCGCTCCTGGTTGGCGGCGGACATCTCCATGAGATCGTTGATGAGCATCGAGACCACGGTTGCGGTCCGCGCCATAGTATCGACGACGAGCTTCTGCTCGGACGTCAGGCCCTCCTCCTGCACCACGGACACCAGTCCCTGGATGGAGTGGATGGGCCTCCGCATTCCCTGGCTCATGACGCGCTGGAACGCGTCCCTGGCCTCGTTCGCCATGAGAGCGTCCCGCCTCGCCTGCAGCAACTCGCGGTTCTGCTCGGCCAGCCTGTCACGCATCGCCTGCGACTCCTCGAGCAGCGAGGCGTGCGACAGCGCGACGGCCACCTGATCGGCGACCACCTCGACGATCTCCAGCTCGTGCGGCGCCCAGTTCCTGTCGCTGGGCGGCACCAGAACCAGCACCGCGTAGCTCGTCTTAATTACCTCGGGCGTTCCACCCTTGAAGTCGGCGACCTTGAGCATCGGCATCCGAATCGCGGCCACCGTGCCAGTCCCCTCCTTGCCGCCGCCGCTGGCCGACCCAAGGACCGAGTCCGGCGGCAGCAGCTTGACCCCGTCGGTGCCCTTGACCTCGAGGACGTCCGCGTCGTCCGCGGCGACGATTGCCTCGCCGTCGTCGTCGCTGCCCCGGCGGAGCTCGTGGGTGAGGCACATTCCGGACTTGTCCTCGGAGGGCATCCAGACGGCGCAGTTGTTGAGCGCGAGCACCCTGGAGAGCTCGATGAGCGTGGTGTAGAGCACGGTGTGGCGGTCGAGCGAGCGGCGGATCTCCTGGGTGAGCATGCGGACGTGCCAGCTGGCCTCCTCCTGGCGCTTCATGAGCACCACCTCGCGGTCGAGCTCGCGGGCCTTGATCCAGAGCAGGCTCTCGCGGACCTTGACGCGCAGCAGCTGCGGGATGAGCGTGAGCAGCGTGATGGCGGTGAGGAAGGAGACGAGCGCCGTGAGGAACTTGGCGGCGGTGAGGAGCAGCACGACCATGAACGGGTGGGGCTCGTAGGTGAAGGCCGCCAGCAGGTGGGTGAGGCCGCAGAGCACGATGAAGGCGCCGAACTGCACCAGCACCCACCGGAACGGGAGCAGGTGGCGGAGCCCCGCGACGAAGTAGAGGATCTCGAGCGGGATGGAGAAGTAGGCCGCCGCGATAAGCAGGTCGCTCACCTTCTGCCACTTGAAGATGTTGTCGAGGCTCCAGAACCCTCCGCCGCCGCCGCCGCCGCCGCCGCCGTCGCAGCCGCAATGCGCGTACCCCATCTCGCCGGCGGCGGGGGCGGGGGCGGCGGCGGCGAGCGCCAAGAGGAGGAGCCAGCGCATCCGCATGGCGATGGGGGAAGAGGAGGAATGGAGTCTCCGTCTGGATGAGCATCCGGATCTCGGGCGAAGCATCGTCCGGTGGGTCCAGTTCAGCTGCGCCGCTGCTGCTGATGCAAACAAGGACGACCAAATTGGCAAGTTGCCGTGGAGAAACGAGAAAAAGACTGCAACTTTCGCGTAGTCTAGCATTTGGGGAGCGCACCATGTGGTTAGCGCTGCCGATTTATAATGACGTTGGTGGCATTGCGGCTGCGTCCAAGAGGAAGGAAAGCGAGCAGGAGCTTAGCGCCACCTTGGTTGGTCCGAAATGGCGGCGACTCCGGGCCGGGCAAGAAAAGGCCACGGCTTGGGGACCTCTACCGCACTAGCACCATCTGTATGTACCTGCAGCAGAGCAAAGCAAAGAAAGAAGAAGGATCAGATACCATTTCGACGAGAGATTTTTCAGAACTCCCAGGCGGGTGCGGTGGGATTCCCATTCCCTGGAAAGATGGATGGAAAAAAAATTTGAATCCTCCCTGATTGAACGGACTTGCCTGGAAAAGTTCAGGACTCTGTGTGCGTCCCTCTGCAGCAATCAGAAACGGATCGAATTGTTCCCAGCTGAAAGCTGTTGTTCTGTATCAGCAGCACTAATTCAATGAATCAAATTGCAAAGAAGAAAAAAAGGGGCGCTTGTTGTTGCGACGCTCGGGAGCAGGTGATGCTTGCGACGCTGGAGAGCAGGGGAGGGCCGCACCCAGATCTGATTAGCGAGGAGAGGCAGACGGAGGAGAGCAACAAGAGCAATCAGGTGGAAACGGATGGATGGATGGGTGGACCGACCCAACCGAGCAGCAACCAACGGGCCAGAGGGGATGCAACTGCAGTGTGCAGCTGCTGCAGAGCAGAGGAAACGGGTGGGGTGAGGAGGAAGAAGACGGCGAGGAGCAACCGAGGATGGGAGGTAAAATATGGAGAAAAGCCAAAAGCTTGTAGGCGTAGGAGCACGCACGCAGATCGCTCGTGCGTCTCTCGCTGTCGCTCGGACTCGTCGGGTCAGGCGGCTCACAGTCACAGCAGCTCCTGCGGCTGGAGTGCTGGACTCGAACAGGGAACAGGAAACAGGGAAGAAGGAAGAAGCACCAACCAGCAACCACAAAGCAACAGGTCGTGGTAGCTTGTCAGTGAGGGGAGGGTGACATGAGGATCACCTGGTCACGGGTGCTGTTGCTTGTGCTGCCCTTTCCCTTGCCACTTTTTTCCTTTTTCCTTTCCGTTGCGTTTCCTCCTCTCCTTGGTCTTGGATGGAATGGAACAAAGGCCGTGTTTAGTTGGAGGCCGGATTCGGCGCCGCCGGATTCGGCAGCACTGTTCAAACACTGTAGCATTTTGTTTTTATTTGATAATAATTGTCCAATCGTTGACTAATTAGGCTCAAAACGTTCATCTCGCAAAGTACAACCAAACTATGCAATTAGTTTTTAATTTCGTTAACATTTAATACTCCATGCATGTACCGTAAGTTTGATGTGACGGAGAATCTTCTTTTTGCATAGTGACAAATTCAGGAAATCTGGGGAATTAAACGTGGCCAAAATATCTTCTTGGTTGTTTTTACGGCGGACGCGCACCACTAATCGTAGCGGCTAAACCGTGTTTAGATCTCCTCAGGAATATAAAAATATAAGGTAAAAAAATGAAAAAAAAGATCAAACACTTGTATCCTGCAATCCAATTATATCCGCCCTGACATTAAAAAAATTTATATCGACCCTAGACCACTGTTCTCCGCATCGCCTCTGCCTTATTGCCATCCACCCTCCACCTCGTCGGCTGCCACCCTTGGATCCAAGCCTCCACACCCTTAGTCGAACAAGGGATGAGAGAGGTGATTTTAACCAAAACCCACCTTCACAAGGAAGAGGTAATCCTATCGGTAATGATGGGACTCGCCTCCTCCACTTCCACGCGCCGCCTCTCCCGCGCCCGCTCCGACCTCCGTGCCCGCTCCGGCTAGGGTTCCGGCGGCGGTGGAGGACATATCGGAGTAAAAGAAGAGATGTAAGGAAGAACGCAGGCTAAACTTTTTGATTTTTTATTAGTAACAAGTAAATACTTTGTTTGGACATAAGAAACTTGCGATATCAAGGGGATAAACACCAACTAATCAAGAGACAATCCACAAAGCAAGCCCACTTGGATATTGGGGCACTAGCAGCGCCGTAATCCTATCTAAGCTAGCTTGGAAAGAACCAAACATGATCAAGACAAGCTAGACTTCACTAGTATAAATAAACCAAAAGAAGAAAGGAATGGATGGACGTGGATGGGCTTGGTTCCCTTTGCTACGCTGCAAATGGCAATGGGAGGCGGCAATGGTCATGGCAATTCTCTGAACCTGCAATTAGCAGCTGGCAGGGGCATCTGACTTGCCCTTTCCGTCGATGGTACGTACGTGTACGAGTCCGTCCGTCTTCGATTTGCCGTCCAAACAAACCCCAAAGCAAAGCAAAAACAGGTGAGTGTGATGACTGGATGAGGCTGAGGGCAGGGGGAGGAGAACCTGGACATGGACATCATGCATGCATATGCATTGCATCCAGTCCGGTCCACCGTATCTGTCCTTTTCTCATCCTGCTATGCTTTCTCTACTGCTTACTTCTTTGGGGGTTCCCCGCTGGGATCTTCTGCGACCAAGGGGAAGGTAGTAAACGCTGCGCGTACTAGGTACGTAACATGTGTCGGTGCTGTATGCCTGTATGTACGTACACAATACCGTATAAAGCTAGTAGTTGTCACTCTTTTTTTTCCTTCTCCAGGTTTGTGAATCCACTCGCATTTTAGCAGTTAGCAGCTAAAATTAGTACATGGATATCAAACAGACTTGATAATAGAATCTTTAACTAGTATTGGCAAAAGAGTTCCTAGCCACGGTACCCCAACTCTGAATTTAAGTGGTTTTGGTATTTTTAGATATATAGGTATTGTTGTATAAATAGATATACGCTTTGTCTAGATACATAAACGACTTAAAATTTGAAATAAAGATATTAGTTTATTAGTTAGTGAAGGTGTTAATACTTTATATACACCTCCAGCTACCTATCAACCATCTATTAGCCGGCGGATCCAAATGTCTCCGGCTAATAATTTGCTGGGTGATAGTACTCCATCCTCCGTCCATTCCAAATTGTGCTTACACTTTCGAATGGAGTAAGTAGCCTTTTCTATATCTATATGCATAAATATAGCATTAATAAGACAAGTGATTCTTCTGCCTGTCCTTTTACTTTTCATGATATCCTCATGCCCCTTATTGCCTCGTATATAACTCAGTCTTATGATCTGTGCTCGTATGCATACAAAGCGATCCCAAGATGCGTCAAAAGACAGTATATAGTTTAATTCCAAAATATATTGGAACAAAAAGGATGATTGTTGAATAAATTCTAAAATGTAAATTGTCCGGCTGACTACAACAAGTAGTACCTTCCGTGCCAATATCGACGCACGTAGATTTACTAATTACTTATTAATTACTTGCTCCGTCCTACAATATACTCCCCCGTGTTCCTAAAGATAAGTTATTTTGAAATTATCTTAAGTCAAATATTTTAAACTTTGACTATAAATAAATTTTTTGAGTTAAGTTTGAAAATATGAAAGTGATGTAAGTATATTCATCTCAAAATGTAGTTTTATAAAAGTATATATTGACTATATTTTATAAATATTTTATACCCAAAAGTAGTGGTCAAAGTTATTTTTTAAGATCGTGTAAATATCCAAAACGACTTTCTTTAAGGACCCGGAGAGAGTAAGGTTGTCGGTGCGAAAAATGACCAACACGTAAATATTTATAGTTTTGCTGTACGTTGTGATCGGATGTGGCCTAACACTCAATGACACAGGGTTTATACTGGTTCAGGCAACGTGCCCTACGTCCAGTTTGAGTCGGTCGGTGCCTTTATTCCTAAGCCTTGGTACTCAAAGTTTGCTGTGGAGTTACAAACGAGAGGGAGTAAGATGGGAAGTATCATAGGTCTGGTCGGACTCCGGACCAAAGGGCCAAGAGTGACAGGAGCTCCAACATGCGCTAAGTGTTTGAACGTATGCTCTGTCTGGTTTTAGAGTTCTATAGCAAAACAGAGAGAATTGGAATTAACTGTATAAATAATCCTCCTTTTGAAGAGAGCGCATCCCCTTTTATAAATGAAGGGGATGGCTTTAACAGAGAGAATGTGAGAGAAAGAGAGTGTGTGTGCTATCTAGCCTTGTTGCCCACGCTATCGGGTACAAGGTGGTTTGTCGGCGTCCACAATACTGTTGATGGCTAGATGCATGTGGTTGGTTCCACCGTGTTCTTCTGGTATGGCAAATGTCGGCGCCTACCATACTGTAGGTCAAATGTCGGCGCCCACAACACTGTTTATGTTCTGATATATCTGGAAGGTTATAAAGTACCCTTTTGATATGACTCGACAGTACTGTCCTGCAGGTGTGCAGGGTACGGTCCTCGGTATTACGGTTTGACTTTAGCGCCCTGCCTTACTTGCTCCGCCTGATTCTTTGGGTCCTTACCGAGCGGGCGTCCCCGTTCGGTTGTTTTCCAGTTGTCTCCGACCACGCCGGTCGAAGAAGAGCTATAAGCAGAGGTTTGGTGTACTCCCGGTCGGAGAAGCGAGTCGGAGTCGGAGACGAGCATCGTCCCTCCTTGGCCAGGCCTTCCGGTCGGAGAGGCAGGCTGGAGTCGGAAGCGAGCGTCGTCTCTCCTTGGCCAGGCCTTTCGGTCGGAGAGGCGGACCGGAGTCGAAGGAGAGCGTCCTTGGCCAGGTCTTACGGTCGGAGAGGCGGGCCGGAGTCGGAAGCTAGCGTCGTTCTTCCTTGGCCAGGCCTTCCGGTCGGAGAGGCGGGCTGGAGTCGGAGGCGAGCGTCGGCCCTCCTTAGACAGGCCTTCCGGTCTGTCGTTTAGGTATCTGGGCCGGCTCAGGAGTTGCGCGTCGTTCACAACGTCGTCTATTGGG